CAAGCACAATAAGGTCCAGGGCAAAAATCAAGAGCTGCTTTTATTAGGTAGCTAGTGTCATAGGATTGACTGCCTCAGAATTTAGTGCTTGTAGCAATTAGTGTTTATCTGATCACTGTGAATTCCAAACCAGCCTGGGCTCCAAAGTGAACACAGGCCAGCCTGAACTACTGCATAGTGAGACCCTGTCTCAAAAAGACAAAGGAGAGAGAGAGAGAGAGAGAGAGAGAGAGAGAGAGAGAGAGAGAGACAGGGACAGAGACAGACACAGAGACAGACACTGTCGTTTGGCAGTGTGGGCGGTTGGGCTTACCTATATTCACTTACGTGTTGTGAGCGATTTTTTTTTTTCCTGAACTGGAGATTGAAGTCAGACCCTTGCGCTTGCCAGGGAAGCACTTATTCTACTGAGCCATCTCCCTGGCCCCCAAGCTATCTCCCGGACCCCACAAGTCAAGAGTGATTGAGGTGGGGCCAGGTAATCCAGGTTGACCTCACCTGCCTGCAGTCGCCACTGATTCTCGGTTCTCCTCCAAACGGCTTCTCATCACCCGGCCTGGGTTCTGCGCCCAATGTTGGAAGTATTCTAAGGGACTAGGGGCAAGAGCCAAGGTCTCTCAAGACCTAAAACTAGGCCTCACGTGGTCATTGTCACTACATTCTGTGAGTGAAAGGCAGTCATTGGCCTGGCCCAGCTTAAGAACTTTACGATTCTGCCTTGTAAGAGAGGAGCATAAAATCATTATGCTGGGTCATGGGGGTAGGCAGGAGGAAATACAGAAGCCATCATTTCGAAGAATCTATCACTTCATTGAAAAAATTATCGGTGCTGTTCTGAGTCACCAAGATGAACCCCCAATGTGCGCCTGCGCTCACACACAGAACTATCAAGAATTTGACAGAAGTACATGTGAAAAGAGTGATAATGAGTGAGGTGCTAAAATCTTCAAAGCACAGAGCAGGGGAGTAAGCGATGCCATCTAATGCCAGCAACTCCAGAAGCCTCAAGTATCTTTAGTTTTGTCAGTGAATTTTAATTCATTTCATCAATGAAAAGGAACTGTCACTTTGCACATTTTCTTTGACTCAGTCACGTGTCGGTTCACTCTATAGCAAGAAGGAGCCTAAAACATGGAAATGACTATGTATATGGAAGTTGGTGGTGAAACTGTTCATCTAGCACCTGCGCTGCCCAAGATCACACCTGGCACCCGATAGACCGCTTACGACAACCAATACCTACTGGTTGAATGGAGTTATCATAATGAATACCAATCTATGTGACCAATAAGCAGAGTAAAGTTAAGTAAACTACAGTGTGCCTATTTAACAGAATATCACACAACCATTGAAAAGTAATTTTAATCAATTATTGAGATTTTAACCCAGAATCTTACCACATGTTGGGCAAACATTCTACCACTGAGCCACATCCCCACCCCTAAAAGGTTATGCTTTGTAAGTCTATCAACATATGATGTGGAGGGCCAGGGAGACAGCTCAGCAGAATAAGTGCCTGCCTGGCA